GGTTTTCATTATTCTTGCTGGCACAAGAGAAAACCCTAGAAGCTGCAATCTTATTCTCTGTGTGGATCACCGTTGGAGGCTGGACAGTTGGACAGCTGTGGTGACAAATCAAGGTTGATGGACCGAAAAGAAAAGCAAAAAAGGATTGCAGATCTGGAAAATGTACAATCTTGTCACAATCTCTATCTAAACACAAAGGCAATTCTTGGTGGGAATCGAAAATTATTTTAAATTCTGCTGTGCATATATAAGTAGATTCCCAACAAACATATCGTATGTTCATTACATGAAATATTAGATATACTTGTAAATTTTCTTTAAACACGAGCTATATTAACGTTTTGCTCTTGAAGTTTCAATAAAACTTGGTAAGAATTAATTATAAAACTTGATATATATCGTGTCTTATTATACGAGGTAGTTTGTTACATCGTTCAAGTACTTGTTACTCTATTCATCCATGTCTACGTGACTAAGTTAGGCAATACATATATACACAATGTGATGAGATATGATATAGTTAGAATTTCTTCAATCAAATAAATAAAATAAATAAATAAACAAATAAATTCTAAACTGTCTTTTTGACACCCCATCTATTCGTAAATCATTATATGATTGCTTATATACAAATAGCATTATTCTTATAGTTATAACTGTGGGGTAAGTGGCATCTTAATCAAATCTTATTTATGTTTTTTTAATGTAAATTCCAATACACAAATGATGTTTGTAGAGAATGGAAATCCAGCCCATATTGGAATTTAGGTTAGTATATTATATTATATTATTTGGCTGGATTTTGTTGCTGGCAGTGGATTCTGATCTCCAAATATTTGGAAAGTGTCCACTGATCAAAGTTTCGAGGAGATAATCCAATTGCTTAGCTAATATTTGGAAAGGGACACTTTTGGCCTTTTGCTTTCAAATTTGGCCTTCCATGGAATAAAGAGACAAATGATGTTGTCCACATTTCATAGAGGCACAAATAATTTGTTATTGGGTAATTTCTTTTTCTCAAGTAATTGCAAGAAAAGCACATTATGGCCATAATTGATTAATATAGCAGAAATATCAATATTGTAAGAGAAGAGTTAGCTCATCCGAGTTGAATTAAGATGTGGTGCATTTCTGACACACTGAGGAATCAATTCTATCCTCGAGTGATCAACCCTGTTGTTTTTATGAATTGGTTAATTTAACAATCGTTGGATAAATTAATTAATTGGATTTGTTATTTATATTTTCGAATTAATTAATTGGATTAATTAATTCACGGACCGGGTTTAATTAATTGGATTAATTAATTATTGGACCGGACCGGACCGAGCCTGTTTGGGTTTATATAAATACATAACTAGGGTTTGAGGTCCATAAGGTTTTCATTATTCTTGCTGGCACAAGAGAAAACCCTAGAAGCTGCAATCTTATTCTCTGTGTGGATCACCGTTGGAGGCTGGACAGTTGGACAGCTGTGGTGACAAATCAAGGTTGATGGACCGAAAAGAAAAGCAAAAAAGGATTGCAGATCTGGAAAATGTACAATCTTGTCACAATCTCTATCTAAACACAAAGGCAATTCTTGGTGGGAATCGAAAATTATTTTAAATTCTGCTGTGCATATATAAGTAGATTCCCAACAAACATATCGTATGTTCATTACATGAAATATTAGATATACTTGTAAATTTTCTTTAAACACGAGCTATATTAACGTTTTGCTCTTGAAGTTTCAATAAAACTTGGTAAGAATTAATTATAAAACTTGATATATATCGTGTCTTATTATATGAGGTAGTTTGTTACATCGTTCAAGTACTTGTTATTCTATTCATCCATGTCTACGTGACTAAGTTAGACAATAAATATATATACACAATGTGATGAGATATGATTGAGTTAGAATTTTTTCAATCAAATAAATAAAATAAATAAATAAACAAATAAATTCTAAACTGTCTTTTTGATGCCCCATCTATTCGTAAATCATTATATGATTGCTTATATACAAGTAGCATTATTCTTATAGTTATAACTGTGGGGTAAGTGGCATCTTAATCAAATCTTATTTATGTTTTTTTAATGTAAATTCCAATACACAAATGATGTTTGTAGAGAATGGAAATCCAGCCCATATTGGAATTTAGGTTAGTATATTATATTATATTATTTGGCTGGATTTTGTTGCTGGCAGTGGATTCTGATCTCCAAATATTTGGAAAGTGTCCACTGATCAAAGTTTCGAGGAGATAATCCAATTGCTTAGCTAATATTTGGAAAGGGACACTTTTGGCCTTTTGCTTTCAAATTTGGCCTTCCATGGAATAAAGAGACAAATGATGTTGTCCACATTTCATAGAGGCACAAATAATTTGTTATTGGGTAATTTCTTTTTCTCAAGTAATTGCAAGAAAAGCACATTATGGCCATAATTGATTAATATAGCAGAAATATCAATATTGTAAGAGAAGAGTTAGCTCATCCGAGTTGAATTAAGATGTGGTGCATTTCTGACACACTGAGGAATCAATTCTATCCTCGAGTGATCAACCCTGTTGTTTTTATGAATTGCATTGTGAAAAATATCGACTAGCTTGAAAATACCTATTGGAATTATTTGTTTAGTGGATTGCCCTTCACTTGTTCCTAACTAATGCAACAATGCCATCTAACTAGCAAATTTTCCTTATTTTCAATTTAAAAAAATTAAGTCATCTGTTATCATGATCTATCTACTGTAACTCTTGTTGGCTTCCATACGGCGAGGACTTTTGGATATGGGAAACAAGGGTGCCGGAATATCCTAGGAGATGCGGCGATTATTTCGAAGTTATTTTCTGAGGATAAATCTTTGATTTTTTATTTTTTTTAAATTTTTTTTTCTAACTTTACTTTTATCCCATGTAACTTGTAGTGGGTTCGATAGTCGATACTTGTTTATTATATCGTGCACTATTATTTAATATTGTATACTAAATATGACGAAAAATTACTGCCGGTTGGCCTATATAAATTGTCTGATTGAATTAGAATGAAAATATAGTTGCTGCCAATGTAATTTACCACAAAAATACATCCTCCGGACTCTTTATGTTAGGAGACAGAATGCCTCCCTCTTCTCGTGGGCGTCGACTTAGCTTCATCGAGGTTGGCAGATCCAAGACTTTCTGAAGAATCAGAGCCACTATTCTCAGTTGCCAGTCCCGATTTGCTCGACCAGATTTTGGAAAATATTTTTTTTGACATATTTAGGCCTTTAATTTTACTAATGGCAGCCTTGTCAGAATAACACTTATTATCTCCATAATTTCTCTCATGTACTACACCATTCCCCACTCGTAAGGCAGCCACCTCCCCTCTCAAGGCTCTGAGTTCTGCAGCAGAAGCCACAGCATCCCAATCTTCATCAGCATTAGTTGTTGCTGACCTTGAGCTCCTATAGGAGGCACAATTGAGGTCTTTAATAGCTTTAGGTAGATCAGGAGTGCTGCTGCCAGAAGATGCAGCGGCTCGGACTTGCTCGAAAAATAGCACCTGGACGACTACACGTAAAGGAAGTCTCTCGTTCTGCACCGCATGCATGCATGCATCTGCGGAGAGCTTCTTACAGTCAAACAGCAGGCATATCCTCTTCCTTTCGCCCTTGCTGATCCCAGGGTGCACCTACGCAACCACCACAGATTCAGTTGATGATAAGTCTAGCAAATGGCAACCATCATATTTTATGCTCATAATATCGCTCTATCATTTATGATATGATCAACATCTATATTTCCTTTTTCTTTACATGAAACAGAAAATGCTATAAAAATCGAATTTTGTAGGGGAACAGATCTATCTTAGTAAGATGCTGATAAATGTTAGGTAGACAGCAAATAATGTCCGTGACTATTATCTCTTTTATTTGTTATATTCTGCAGAAAGCATAAGAGATTTTACCTTGAGATACACATCGATTGCCCCATAAAGGCCATCATGTGCAGGTCGAGAAAAGCTAGAAACCATCTCTGCGATACCAATGAACACTGACAAAGGTAGACTAGGATCCTTTGCAATCTCACCAAGGTAACCATCAATTAGCTTTGCCACCATAAGCTTTGAAGCTTCTGATAAGATCCCCGGACTTCTAATTTCTTGAATCTCGTTCTCATTACCTATTTCAGTTTTTGCATTTCGATCTTGCATCATGAATTCTTCAAGTATTTTCTGGACTATTTGGACATCATACATAGTTGGCTCCCCTTCACAAGCTCGAATTAACAGATCATTCACAGAAGCCTCCTCCAATTGCTGCCCAATTCTTTTTACCACTTCTTCTTTTACCACTTCTCCAGAATTGAGAGAAATGGCTGCTTTTAACAACTTCAGCAAGAAACTACACGAGACACTGCCTTTTTCTGCAGGCAAAAGATACAGAATGGTATCTAATATTGGGCAAAGCTTTGAAAAATCATTATATTTCACAACACCCTTGCTAGAGCCTGGCAGCTTTCTATAAGCATAAGCTTTCAAAGCTTCTCCAATCACTTCATTAGATATTATCCCTTTGGTTTTAATGGTAATAATAACCTGCTTATAAAACTCTATTTCAAGCTCACATAAGTCCTCAACCCACCAATCATTTGGCACCATTCGGCTTCTGACACCATTCCAGCCCTGATCATTCCCATTTTCCTCAGGGAGCTTTTTTCTGTTATAGGTATAGGACCAGTCCACTTTGGAAACATGAACAGAGGCCTTCGAAGCAATAGCATCGATACAGTGTTTGATTAACTTCAATTCCTCGGACAATGGTAATAGAGACGTTGTAGTCTGAAGAACTATTATAGAGTCCTTCCAGCTTCTGAAAATGCTGGAGTTGAGAAAAACGTCAACCTTGTAAATGAGGTTCCCTTTTTCAATTGTCTCATGCATTTCCAGATACTCTGCTGCACAGCGTGCAGCAACAACATTGTAAGCATTTAGGGTAACTGTCATTCCATAACAGAACTTGGCACATATTTCGAAGGCACTGGAACTGCCTGGAATATCATGAATGTAGATTCCATCACTGTTTCCTTCATCCGATGAAGAAACCAACTTCTGTAAACGCGCACTCTTAGACAGAAGAGGGAACTGCATAACTCATTTTTAGCAGCAAAAATCAGTATTGATGAATTAAATATACCCTTTGAAATCACACATCAATTAGGGTGTCGAAGTAGGTAAAAGGGACAAAAATTGAAACTTATTTTAGTGCTCAGCAGATCACAAATTTCAGAGCAACTGGCACGTTCAGCAGCCGTTCCATTGAAAGTGCCAAAAAACAGAAAAAAAACATTTCACTTCCTTTTTATCAACTTTAATCTATAAAAGAAATTCTTCTTTGATTGTGAACTGGCAACAAAGGTGTTAATGCTTTGTAAGAATAACAATCAAGAATCACATTAAGTTATCAGAGAAGTCCAGACTCGGTAATGCCAGCAAGGCATAGCTGCCGAGACGAAAATTTTAACAGCTGCCGTGATTATATACATTAATTATTAATCATTGTACCTTATGCAGATAAAATTTCACATCCCCTACATGAATCACGATGTCCGCTGCCAATTCAGTAGCCACATATCTGCAGAAGATGATTTATTCCAAAATGTTTACATTTTTTCGAAGTAGATATGAGTTATGAAAATTTAGCAGTTGAGAGCTTCTAAAATCACAAAACATGGGTCGCATAACAAAGACTCAGATAGAAAGGACATAAAGTGTATACAGGCACTGTCAAATCACTATGGCTTGAAGCCTTGACTTCAGCTACAGTATCAACGTGCATTCGGTGTACACACTGTCAAATTTTAGTGACAACACTGTATAGAGTATTTTTCTTTAAATCGAATTCAAGAAAAAGTCTACCAAGTCATCTTAAGAACGTACAAGTATTGGTTAGTCAGAACAAAATTAGTTTCCCAGAAATTTACAATGCAATACATCTGATGGCTGCTTAGTCATTGGAATCATCTTAATTGCTATTTTACATAATACAACAAATTAGACCTATGTCACTTAACAATGATTATCCAACATATTTTAGTCTCTAAAACTGGTAGATTAAAACTGGTTATTTTTCCAAATGAACAGAAAGTTTTTGCCCTAAACAAGCTCAGAAGCACTACAGATACTCTAAAAACAAATCAGAAGCTTGAAAAGTTCAACATTATATGGAAAAGGGCTGAGGTAATTTCACAAAATATAAATCAAATTAAGTAAAGCAAAAGACATCTAAGACTAGAAAATTTATGTTAAACAGTTGCAGTGCATCACTATAAACTAAGTAAAAACGACAATAGATCTTCTTAGATAGATATGGATCTTACCTAACTTTGTTCCAATCTGTCTGAAAGGAATCGGGCTTGGATCCGAGTTTCATAAACTTCATTGGTGCAACTCAATCTGTATTTCTCTTCTGGTACTTCAAAACTATACTTCAAATTTCTCAATTGATCACAGAAATATATACTGCCTCAGATTGAACTGTAGACAACCCAAATGATCGGACAAAACTAAAATCGAGGAAAGGAGTCGTGGAAAATTGGAAATGGCAAACTTCAAAGGATTCCAGGTGTGGGGACCAAATTTCTGATTATAGCCAATTTTCTCAACTTCAAAAGGAGGAATGGGACCTCAAAGAGGGAAGTATATATGCTTTGGATGACGGAATCTTGACAGTAACCGAGCACTTTCGAGATAAAAAAAAAAGGGAGAAATGGGGTTTGTGCAAAATTTCAGTTTAAACAAATGGTGGCTTCAATGGGAAGAGAACCTCAGAGACGTTGTTCCCTTGGTCGGTAGCAAAGCCCACAAATTCCGGGCGAGCCTAGTCAGCCCAGGAGACACCCAACAGACTCTCCACACTAAATTATTTCCCAAAACAGAGAACACTCTCATTAGCACCAATCTGACTCCACCCCCACCACCGCCTCTATTTCTTTATCTTTCTTTCTCACTCTCACTCTGTTTCTTTACTCTGCTTTCTCTGTTTCTTTAATTATTTCTTCTGTACCAAATACCAATTTATATGCTATAGATTCAGATCACCAGAAAAATACACCAGTGCCCTTAAGTTCCAAACCTAATAAAGAAACAGGAAATATATCAAACACGTGGTATGCAATTAATTTAGCAACTTTAGTTTGAAAGACCTGCAACGAAAAACAGCATCTCGGTATCAGTTGAATCAACCACCAAAACGGTAGACAAGAAGCATCTCTCTTTATAGTTTTGCTGAGGCTGAAAGAATAGATGAGCTCCCATAGCATACTGGAATATCAAGTCCGTTAATATAGTTGATGCTTTGATTGCTTTCATTAGTGACATCATCAAACAACAAAATCTGAGGAAGAGAAAAGAACCATCAAAGAAATCTAAACAGTAATTAAAATATAAACAAAAACGTGGCCATCATTATATGCTATAAAGATCATCAAATCAAAGTAATGTGCATTTTTCTCTTTTTTTTTTAATCTCCTGATTAACTTACATTTTAGCAAAATAAGTAGTCAACTGACAGAACCCAAAAGCCACTCCCCGTGTAAACCCCAACAAGAACCCACGAAAAAACCCACATTGTATACAATAACTTGAACCGAATTTGTAATGCCCAGTCTTGTTCAAGAACACTTTTTTCAAAGGAATCGGGCTGTGAGTATAAAAAGAAGAAACAAGAAACCCGCATGCATATGGTATGCACAAAACTCAGCAAAAAAAAAAAAAAGAAAAGTAAAGAAAAAAAGAAGAAAAAAAGGAGGAAATTACTTTGCGCGGAAATCAAGACAAAGAGGCCTAGATTTGCAACTATGTGCTTACCATTTTCGATAGAACAACCCATACAAAATTTACCATTTTTCTTTCAAAGCATCGTTGTTTACATTTTTTTTTGACATCGTGCCACGATGGCACGATACATAATTAAGCATTTAAAAAAAAAAACACACTTTCTGACCAATATTTTTTGACATACAATGAAATGTACACAAAGATGTTGCCTATGAAATGTACATTTAGCATAATTATTATTTTTTTATGAGAAGATAAGACCACATCCCTTGGAAGAGCAGCTGAAGTTTGAGCTTGATACGTATGTTCATTCAATTTGCTAAATTTTAATAATATTTAAAATGTCAACACAATTAAGAAAGTAGTCAAATACTCATATTTATAAATAAATTTACTATAATCAATATGAAATTTTATTCCTTATTAGAGATAATTGTGTGCCCCATAATAAAACCTTTAATTTATAGAACAACAATGCTACAGGGACAAGTTTAAAAACAGGGTAGACACATATCGAAACGTGATTGGACACTTTGAAAAATAAAAATTTTAAAAAATAGCCAACTATTTTCTGTCGAATCTGTCCGTCTCTAACTACCTGTTTTTAGCCTGTTTGACTATATATTCTTTATAGCATATGAAAATGTCAGGTCGTAGATAACGCAAGTACTTGTGATTGACATGGATTTTTTCTCCACAAGTGGAGTGCTCATTTTTGTTTACTTCATAGTGGAAATAATTAAGAGCATTCAATTTCTTATCTATGAACATCGTACTGTAATAGGTGATTGTCTCTTAGTTTCGTTATTAAATAATAAAAGATATACCATTCTAGTAAATAGAATATATTTTTAATGTAGAACACACATTACTCTAGCGAATTTCACAGCCCAAATTATATATATTATTTATAAGATTTAGCCTAACACACGTAGTGCTGACTATGCCACTATAAATTGAGAAGCTCTATACGGAGGACGATTAGTTTTTTAATTATATATTTTTTAAGAAGTACCAATTGATAAGCTAAAGTGATGTAACTCGCATTAATTGTAAGTTCGAGAGTTGATCTGATATACTTTTGGGGAATTCCAAGGATGGGTCCTAATTGTATTTTTAATAATAAAAGATATATCATTCTAGTGAATTTAGCTTGACACACGTAGTGTTGACTATGCTACTACAAATTGAGAAGCTCTATAAAAAGACCGATTAGTGTTTTAATTATATATTTTTTAAGAAGTACCAATTGTTAAGCCAAAGTGATGTAACTCACATTAATAGTAAGTTCGAGAGTTGATCTGATCTATACTTTTGGAGAATGCCAAGGATGGGTCCTAATTGTATTTTTAATAATAAAAGATATAACATTATAGAGAATTTAGCCTGACACACGTAGTGTTGACTATGTCACTATAAATTGAGAATCTCTATACAGAGGCCGATTAGTTTTTTAATTATATATATTTTTAAGAAGTACGAATTGATAAGTTAAAGTGATGTAACTCGCATTAATCGTAAGTTCGAGAGTTGATCTGATATATATTTTTGGAGAATGCCAAGGATGGATTTAATCGTATTTTTAATAGGTCAGCTCAAGCATGAACTAGGTCGTTGGGTTACCCACCCATTTCGACATTGGTCGTTGGTGGGTTTATTGCCTATTGGCGGAGGAGTAAGGCAAAGAAATATAATAAAAATAAATTAATGTTTTATTCTAACATATTTAATTATGAACTACAGAATGTCACAATTGCACTGAATAGAGAAGAAAAGGCTACAAATTGTCATTTAGGACCAATTCGACAGGATTTTTGAAAAGTCAAAAAATATATTTAAAAGTGTTTGAATAATTTTCTAAAAGTGATATATCGGGCTAAAGAATTTTTTGAAAAAATTGAATGAAGTAACTTTTTCGAAAAAAAAATCTTCTACAAAAAGTAGGAGCCCTGCGAAATGGACATGAAGCACATGGCCAACCACGACCTGCATGCATGAATAGTGTATGGTATATAGATCACTCATCACTTTGAACGGTGGATAATTAATAGCATTAAATCGTAGGTTTAGCTTAATTAATTGAATAATTAGTAAAGGACAGCCTAATCATAACAACAATTGGTGTTTGCTGTTGACACGTTGTTAGGGTTCTAATCACATGAATAAAAGTGAAATTACATGGCAATATTCATCATGCTCGATGATCCTAGGCCCGTACAATCGAGACAGGACCACTTAAATCTTTTTCTTCTTGCTTTGCAAACCGGGAATATAAAATAAAATTACCTGACATTAAATGGTAGGACGTTAGGCAAATTCCAGTACTTGGTTCGAATTAAATTTTTTTTTTTTTTTTTTATTAAGATTCAGAGTCAATCATAAGATGAGATCGACTCTTTACTGTTCACATCTTTAGAAAATATTGAACAATGGCAAGATTAAGATGACATGTATAGTTCGAACCTCGTAAAATAAGAATTCCTTACACTGCAACCATTACTTGAAAGATGTAATATTAAGTACCCCAAACATTTTTTATTTTCTTTAATAGAAACTAAAAATGAACTCAAATATCGGCTCTAAACCCGATGCATCCAAGTAAATAATTAGATAAGAGAATCTTCCACACTAGTAGAAGTGTAAGATACATTTGTTGTCGTGCTTTTTCTGTATTATTCACTCTTGGCTACTTAAGCGACAAACTTCTAAGATAGAGATGGAAGAGTATTCCGCCCACATGGCAAGTTATGATCGATGAGTCCAAGTACAAACCTTGAATTTGATATTTGTTATGTAAGGGCTCATTTGCTAGAAGTTTTGAAAAGTTAAAAGTTACTTATGAGATTAAGAAGGTGTTTTTGAACAAGTTTGAATAATTTTCTGATAGTGCTTTATCTAGCTATAAGAGTATTTAAAGGAAGTTGACTTAATATAACTTTATGAAGTCATTCTACAAGAAGTAAAAACAAAAACATAACCCTGTCAAACAAGCTCATACTCTTTTTGATATTTCCTTTTTGACTTTTCCCCGTACTCTTAGTTTTTGAATTATTGTGTGGATCTGAATACTACTTATGCGGATTTTCTTAAATCGGATGTCATTTTGTTAATAGAAACAAGATTAAGCTTGATTTTTCAATGAATTTAGAATATTATGAAATTTGATTAATTAATTTAGTCTGTTTAATAGGGATCAAAATTTATATTTTAATTTAAGTCAAAATCAAAAATTAATTTTAACCATATTTTTATTTACTTTTATTAAAATCTATTAAAAATTTGATTTTAATAGTCATCAAATAACGCTTAATTAGATGAGTTTAGGAAAACTACAAACAAGCCAACCCCAAGCTTACAGCCTTACCTCCTGCGTTCGTGTTGGACTCTAGTTTCTATCATAGGGCTCGCTAAAATAACCACCACAGTATTTGACGTCAACAAGCCCAGTAATCAAAGAATATTTTTGGGCTTTCTTATTGGACATAACATTCGTCAACCAAATTTCAGGCCCACCATTTAATACAAAATTAGACAAAAATCTTAAGGAAAAATTCATAAACCATGTATTAACTATGCACAGTTTTAAAATCATGTTTAAAGTTTAACTAATGCAAAAATCAGATTTTATCTAATTAATTAAAAATATTTATTAATTAAATATAATAAAATCACAATTATATAATTAATGGTCACATGTACATATTTATAGGTCACATGTACATATTTATAGGTCACAGATTTATTCCTTGGTCACATATCTTCAAATTAATTGGTCACAAATTATTTCGAAATCACGAATCAAACCTTTGATAGGTCACAGATTATTTCGTAGTCACGAATCACAATTTATCCATCAATTTTATAGGTCACAGTTTATGTTATTGGTGACAAATCTAAAAAATTGTAGGTCACGAGTCACAATTATAGGTCACAAATGGTTATAAATCCAAAATATTATAGGTCACAGGTCACTTTTTTGAATTTGATGGTCACAAATTATTTTTTAGTTATAAAATAATCGAATTTTAAGGTCACAGATTAATTGTCGATCACAGACACCAAACACCGATCTCGATCCACCTCATTACATGGTCACAAATACTCCACCACCAAACCCACCACCATTGCCATCTGAACCACACCATCGCCGCTTGAACCAAGTCTGAACCACGCCATCGCAGCCTAAACCAAATCACTAACAAAAACTGTCACCGTGTCCTTCACCACAACCTCCAACAAAACAGCGACCAAGAAAGTCAACCACAAACGCCATCACCGCACCCACATCCACACTGTACAGAGTCCACCACCATGCAAGACACCGTCATCGCACAAGACACCATCCAAATCCATTGCCAACCAAACCCATTACCACCCAAGACACCAACCAAATCCATCGCTACCATAACAAGCACTACCAACATCATCAATAACAACATCACGATTCCCGCAACAAATCGCCGCTCAACATTTTGCAAAACTGGTTGCCACACATCTTCTATCTGAAGAGCAGCGATGCAGCACATCTTTCGAAAAAATCCTAATTTCGAAAAAATTCCTAACTTCTCTGTCCAAATCACCTGTCAATTCCCTGACCTCACCAATCACCACCAGCTACCCCAACTTCTCTGTCCAACGATAACATTAGCAAGAGGCTCCAATTCACATTCTCCCAGCAATAAGAAAAATGGATGGAGATATTGAAATATAGATCAACAAACTCCCAATCAGACGCCTGGATGCTATTGAAGAAAACGACACCGAACACTGCTAGAGGTACCGGTACCGCTCATAGTACCAAAAACACTACCGCACACCAGACCGCCTCTTGCCATTTCCCATCTTCAACATCATCGCATGAGAGGAGCGCCTCGCTGTTGTCCAATGTGAAAGGAGAGACGAGGAGAAGATAATCGACCTGTCGAGGAGAAGATAATCGTCCTATGTGAGAGGAG